TTCTTTTATTAGATCAACCAATTGAACTGAAAAACCAGGCATTTCTACAGGAAGTTGTAAAGGACACCAGGGAGTACCCAAAGAAGAAGTTTTTTCAAATATGGCCTAATCTAGGAAAACCCTTCCCTCCTGCATGTACTGTTGGAATGGGATACCAGATTTCTCCAAGATACTGATATGGTTCACTTGATTCTTGACATGCTTATTCCTAAATATGGCAGTCAAAGCCCTTTGATGTTAACCGTAGAAAATTTATAGTTAAAATCTGTTACATTCAATTACCTCTAGAAAAAAGTCATTACTCCCAAATCAAGCTGCCCAGACAGACATTTAGTTAACAAAAATAAGAACTGAAGGCAGTTTTGTGTAAAGGACAAATCTATACCGTGTGATTCAGGATATCAAATAATAAACCATTGGAAAGAACAGACCAGATACACACAACTCCACATATCCTTGATAAGAGGATTTGTAATTCTTAATTACACATTTATGTTTTTTCACTATCAGATCAACTGATCAAAACTGCATGAGAAACTGAACAGTAAGAAACTTATTACTTGAATTATGATAGGACATATTTACATCCAAAGTCCTCTTCATCAAAAATCAGTAAAGCATATTATTCTTTGCTATGCTGAAATGAATACCTGAATAGTAAAAATGAATACACCACTATTTATTTGCAGCAAAATAATCAGTATATTCAAAATCAAATTATCAGTGCATCAACATAGATTGGTACCATCTTCCTTTTGTGAGGGATGCACAGTCCTGGTTCAATTCAACAGCAGCATATTTAATTTCTCCAACAATATTTTACCAACCAAGTGAAGTGCTAAAATACAGGTAAATAAATGTAGTAGCTGGTATGGCAAATATTTTAGAAACATTAATTGTACATTTACCCAATGTTAAAAGCAAGTGATGTAAATTAACTTCCTATTTTCCACCTCTCCAAATGTTTTTAATTATGTGTCTATTATACTGTATACTAGTATTTATCTGAAAATGTTGATGAAAGTAATATCTTAATTGATGGCTCCATCCTTCTGAGCATCTTCATTACACAGCTTGCTAATCAAATCTATCTTACCTGAAAAAATACTTCACAAATAGCAAGTTATATGCAAAAGGTACTTACTGCTCTGCCATGCTAAAAACTGCATATACACAGGAAATATTCTATTTAACCTCAGCACTGCTTTTTACTTGTAATTTCCTTTTCTACGATCTCACAGCAAACCAGAGCTCAGGCACGCTTCTAGCCATTACCTACTGCATAAGTTCTCACACATCCATTTGCCTGCACAGCCACCCTGAGTGAGGATTCACTGCCAAAATCACAGAGCTGGAAACTCAGTCTGAGCTCAGAGAAAGGAGCGCAGGAGAAAGTTACAATCTCTGCCAAGGCAAAAGACTGCACTGTCCCGTTCAACCAATGTGAACTGTCCTGTTTAACCAATGTGTAACAACTTCTTTTTTTTTTTTTTGTTACATCTCAGTAATAAATAAGCTATGCTGGTTTTCAAAATCCTCCACAAGCACCATGCACACACAGGCAGAAGACACAAATTTTTTTGCTAAAAGCTGCACAGTCAGAAGCATTTGGGTAACCACTGGTGAGTGTTAAAGCTCTGAGGGCCTCTCCCAGCAGAGTTCTGCTGCTGCATCGCTCCTCCACCTTCAGAGCAGGGGTGAGAGCCAGCAGAGAGGTTGCATTGTCACAGACATTTTTCACAGAAATCCTTTCTTTCAGATTTCTGTAGCTTCTGGGAAGCAAGGGCCCCCAGAAGAAGAATGTGAACAATTGTTATCAGCTGCTGTGAAATGCAATAGGATGCACCTGTGATTGGCTCGTGTTCCCATGTTTATAATTAAGGGCCAATCACAGGAGCAAGCTGGGGACAGAGTCCCTGGACACAACTTTGTTATAGATTCTTTTCTTTTCTATTCTTAGCTTAGCAGCAGCCTCTGCAATTTCTCTCTTTATTCTTATTAGTATAGTTATAATGTATTATATATCAATAAATCCAGCCTTCTGATCAAGAAACAAGATTCTCGTCTCTCTCTCACCTCCAGCGACCCCATGCAGGGCGCTGTAATATTGCATGGGGCTGATCCATCAGTCTCAGGCCTTTAACACCTGGAGCCTTCTCCTCTGATAGGGGCAGGGCCAGGGGAAGGATTCACATCCACTCCCTGGAAGGCATACATGAGCAATTCCAAAAATCTCATCCCCCTTCTATCAACAGCGATAGACAAAGCTGCCATAACACAATGGAGATTACCTGCTACTCGTACAGCAGAGTTTCCTCACACAAAGCTGTTGTTGCCACACAAAACCAGTTCCCACACTGGCATGCAGGTGTTTTACTTCCACTCAAATGCACCACAGAGCCCTTGTACATTCATGCCCTTGCACTGGAGCTGTCAGCAGCTATTTCACAGCTGGCTCCACCCTCTGAGACACTCAGGTAGGAACTCAGCATGAGGGTTGGAGCGGAGGGACATGGGATCAAGCTGTAAGGCCCTTTACAAAGTAATGCTAGTTCCTCCTGCCTTCCAACAAGTAGCAGCCAAGTATTCTTATCTCCTTGGTATTATCTAGAAAATAAACAATCTGTACTGTTTTCTTCTAAAATATTATCTAAGTTCTCCACTGTGTTATAAGCACCTACACAATCAGAATATAGAATTTTCTGTTGAGAGTTCCACCAGCTAAAAAGCATTAGAGTCATCCCAGCTTGTAAGTTACATGTTCGTGAAGTACCTCTGAACGGCAGCGTGTTGATGTCATAAAGTAAATATTTAACTACAGTCATCATTCCTCCAAACAGTTCCCCTTATTTCACACATCAGAAGGTTCTGTTTTTCTCCAGGGAGTTTCTGATCACTTCCACTAGTGTTATCCAATACTCTCTCACTCTACTCTTTCCTGTTTCTGTATATACAAGCCACTCCAGCACTTAAATAAAGAACACAATCCAAAGTCGCTACTGGAGACACAAATCACTGTCAGCCCCTGGATTTCCTGGTAGCAAAACCATAACACTCACGTATCCCCAGAGTTTCTTTGGTGTACAGCTTTTAACCCAACCCAGCCTATCCCAAAATTTTTCACATAGTTCATATTCCTAGCACACAGTATTAAACAAATCCTTCCAGCACATGGGAAGCCGAGAAGGAGAAGGCAAAAGAGCCCCAGATCCATTGCTCTGGGAAGGAGAGTGATGGGAGCTCCGGAATGGGTGTGTGCTGGTGCAAACCAGCCTCCTGCATTTCAGGGAGCCACTTCTGCCCCTTTCAAGCCCCTAAGGTTAAGGTTTAGCGGCGCTGACCCAAAACAAACAAACAAACCCCAAACACTAAAACGGACAAACAAGCCGAAACTAACAGAAAAAGGAACAAAACCATTGTTTTCACAAGTGTAAAGCTACTGCTGGTCCTTCCAGCTGCCAGGCTTGGAGAGTTTGGTGGAGACAAGGCTCTGTGATGGCCAAATGCTTGCTGATAGGTACAAGCTTGCTTAACGGGGCACACCCTGCCCCGCTCCGGCTCAGCCACAGCCGCTGCTGTGCCATCAGCGCCTTCCCCCGGGGGAAAACCCCCGCCGGTTTCTCAGCACGCCGGGAACCCCGGGCACAAAGCCAGGCTCAGGGATTGCAGGAGCGGAAAGGACCCGCTGCCCATGCAGGGTCAGGCAGGCGTCTGGAAACAAAGCCCAGGGCAAACCCCTCCCGTAGCCATCCCGGCGCCCCCCGTGACCCCTCTGTGCCCACGCTCCAGGGGCGTTCCTGCCCCGCCCCGGGGCGGCCCCGGCCGGGCTCGGGCAGCGCGGGCGGGGGCGGCGCCCGTGCGGCCCCGGGACTGCGCCGCGCCCTTCCCGGGAGAGGCTGATCCACACCTGATCCACACCTGATCCACACCGCCGGGGAAAGGCTGATCCGCATTGCCCGGGAAAGGCTGATCTACACAGCCAGGGAAAGGCTGATCCGCATTGCCAGGGAAAGGCTGATCCACACAGTAAGGAACAGGCTGATCCACATTGCCGGGAAAAGGCTGATCCACACAGTAAGGAAGAGGCTGATCCTCACCTGATCCACACAGCCAGGGAAAGGCTGATCCACACCTGATCCGCACTGCCGGGAGAGGCTGATCCACACCTGATCCACATTGCCAGGGAAAGGCTGATCCACACAGTAAGGAAGAGGCTGATCCTCACCTGACCCACACCGCCAGGGGAAGGCTGATCCGCACAGTCAGAGAAGAGTTGATCTACACCTGATTCACACAGCCAGGAAGAGGCTGATCCACACCTGATCCACACAGCCCAGGGAAAGGCTGTCCCACACCCGATCCACACAGCCAGGAAGAGGCTGATCCTCACCTGATCCACACAGCCAGGGGAAGGCTGTCCCACACCCGATCCGCACAGCCAGGGACAGGCTGTCCCGCCGGGACAGGTAGGGCAGCGCTGGCTGCTCCTTCTCTCCCGGCTCTGCCCGGGCCCCAGGGGAAAGGCTGTCCCCAGCCCTGCCGTGGCCCCAGTGCCTGTGGCACGTCCATCCCCCGGGCGGCGATGCTGTTTTTACCCGTGTCGGGTGGCTCCGGGTTTATTTCACCCCTCTGACAAAACGGGCTTTGTACGTGTTCCCGTCGGGGGGATTTTGTTACCTCCTACAAAAGGCAGCACTGCCGGTGTCAGAGCCCACCCTGCGGGGCCCTTCCCCGCTCTGCTGGGCCGGGACGGGAGAGCAGGAGGCGGCCGGAGCGGTGACATGTGTGTGTTACACAACCAGAGCTCCGCGAGAGACAGGCAGGACCTGTTCGGGTCGGTGCCTCTCGCAGGAGCCGCCAGCCCCCAGTGCGTGTGGGTGCTTGCGCTGGATGACTCCAGATCAGGATTCACTCAGGGCTCGCTCAGCGCTGACACTTCAGAGGATTGCGCTGTCGCTGCTGCTTAACTCACGTTGGTTTCTGTCTGGCAGATCCCGGCCATGCTCGCCGTGTTGGTGCTGCTGTGTCAGCTGCGTGTGGCGGTGCTCGCCTTTCCTCACTGCCCTGGCAGAGCAAAGGACTCGGAGCAACCGGAATGGAAAGATGGTAACTCAGTTTTAACGTGGCTTTGTGCTTTCCTAAATTGTTTCTAAGTTTGCTTTGCTGGCTTCTTTAATCGTTCGGTTATTGTTGCTTTGGTAGTTGTTGTTTTGGTTTTTTATGGTTTAGTTGGTTTTGGGGTTTTTTTGTCGTTGTTTTTTTGGTTTTTTTACTTTATGACAAAATTATGCTGCTTTATGCCTGATTTCAGATTATTTTGATACCTCTTGCTGAAATGAGCAATAATTGACTTTGGTGTTCATATCAAGTATTTGTCAGACCTTGTCGTAAGTGCAGATTGGGACAATTGTAGTTTTTCCAGCCCGCTGGCATTATTGTGGTTGATACAACCAGAATCCTTTAGGTAACATCAAAATTCAAAAAGTTTGAAGCCTGTGTTAAGACAGCATTGTTTTGGTACTCTCTCAGCACATCACAGTTGTATGTGCATATCTGAAACTGCTTTATGTTTGAAAGGGTTGATTTGGTGGGTTTTTTTTTGAAATTGCTATTTGCTCTCAATGCCAGGCCCCCTTACAACACCTGGAAAGAGAAGCATAGTGCTGCTTTTGCAGTTCTTCCCTGGGGAGGGAGGGAGAGAAGTAAAAAACAAATAAATTCCCCTCAGAGACTCAAGCACTACAAAGCAAAGGCTGGTTAGCATTTTAAGGGCTTCAAAAATAAATTTCTGCTTTAGCTGTCCAGTCTTCCCAGTGGACAAGGAGTACTGAAACCTTAAGACAGATTTTAAAAAGTCATCACATGGAGCAGGAGGCTCCTTCAGGGCAGTATGAGGAGCAGAAACCATGGCTAGCAGAAAAGTGCTTGTGACAGATGATTTGTTAAAATCCATCTTGCTCTGGGCATAAAACATCAGGCTGCCCCTTCCCTGTAAGCTCCTGTGAGACCTCACAATAGGCCCAGACCATTCCTCCTTTAAAGACAGAGTTGGAAAGAGAAGTATCCAATTAATATCAATAATATTAATATTTTAATATCCAATAATAGTAATATCAATAAAATATTGGGGTTTTATATTTTATATATATATTTATATAAAAAATCCAATAATTTAGCAAGCAGAACAGTTGCCAAAGGTATGGGGTACCTGCATTGAGAGGTCGCCCTTCAGCATTTTCTGAACATCTTTTACCTGCAGAGCTGCTTCACTGAGAGTATTGTGTGGTTGCATTTTTAATTAAATAATTGAATGCTGGGCACCCTAAAACTGCCTGGATCATTTTCTCAAAACAAGGACTGCAGAACTGCATTCACGACCCTCACATTTGGTGCTCAGTTCAAATCCATCTGTTTCATTTTTCAAACATTGTTTTAATCACCAGGTAGCAAGTAAGTTGGAGATGGAGATATGTGACAAAGTGAAAAAAGTGCAGATAAATGGATAAAAATTCTTAAAAAGAAAAAGTGGGCCGTGTATCCCCGGGAATTGAGGGTTCTAGGCTCCAGGCAGTTTGATTATGCATTCCATTTTAAACAAAATGCATCAGTTCTCTTAAGATAATTCAAAGGACAGCTAATACTACTTGCATGGTAAAGAGTGAAACACTACTGAGCAAAACTGAAGATCTCTGCTTCAGAAGAACGAAGTTACTTTTGTAATTTGCACTGAACCAAGAATATTGATAATATTTTTTTTTCCCCATGTAATTATTTTCCCTTTCCACTTGTGGGTTTGAGGGAGTTTTGATTTTGGCTTTTGTTTTTGTTTGTTTGGGGTTTTTTTTGTTTTGTTTTTGTTTTGTTTTTGTTAAGTCCTTTTCTCTGCTTACTCTCTAGGTATAGTATAAATATTTTAAGCTTAGATTTTCTCACAATTGCTTTAGAATAACAAAACCAAATGCACGTACACCTGTGTAACTCCTTCAGTACACAGTGTGACAGTGTGCAAATTATATAAATAGACGCTGTCATATTCCTTAAATATTCTACCATATTAAAGCCATAAACAGCCAATATGTAAGTTATGCTGCACTTTTCCCAGTTTTCAGAGACCAGAGTGTTATGAGAGAGCACTGCAAGATCTAACAGTGACTCTTAGGGTGAAAATTCCAGAGCGATGTGATAATCTTGCCAAACAGGCTAACAAGAACACAAAGCTAATTTGTAGCTGAATAACTTTATCCTGAATCTCATCTCCTTTTTCAGCCATCCAGCTTGGTGTGTAACAATGCTGTTTCTGCATTACACTTGCAAAAGTAATCCTCTAGTCATTTTGCTCAACCAAATAGCCTGAATTTCATGGACATAGGTTAGGCTTTCACTAGAAATTTGGTTTTGCTCTTTTTTTTTCCTTTTTTTTTTAATAAGAAACTGTAGCAAGAGCAGGCTAAAACTTGACTATGGAAAATGCCTAGTGAGGAAATACATTCCTGTATTCCAAAGCCTTCTATAATTTCACTCACTGTTCTGGAATCTCGCTTCGCCACTTAATCCATGAGGCCTCATGGAACACAAAAGAAGAGAATCTCTTCTTTTCAGAAATCTTCAGAAATGCATGTTGTCAGTAAAACTCATATCATGGCCAAATTTAAAACAAATAAACTTGGCAATAAGGCACCTTTACATAAAGTTTGGTGCCACGATTGTGAAAGGAGAACAATTGTAGAATGACTAGGAGTCTGCTGATGTGATTTAAAAACTAAATTCTGTAAATAAAACCTGTGACTCACAGATACCAGAATATTGATAAATGTACATTTGGTTTTTTCCTTCCCCCACCCTTGTCTCCTTCCCCCACTAGGTCAGGGTGTTGCTTACTTTGCATCTGGCTGAATTTTGCTTTATGTGACGATTTCTTTGTTCGTAAGAGCTCCAGTAAAAACTGCTGCTCACATCCCACCAGGGGTCACACCAAAACTTGACCAACAGTTCCCATGACAATCAAATTCTCTTGGCCCGGATAAGGAATAGCTGAGATGGCTTTTGAGAAAGGCAAATACATTTATTTCATGTTACATAGAAAATATAGTAGTGAAGAAGAAATTTTAGGAGGAGACTTTGATCTCTCCTTTGTATATACCTGAGAGATGCTAGGGGAAGAAATTATCCCAACGTGCTCCTTTAAAATCTTTACCATTCTTTAAAAATACCAAATTTAGCCTTCCTAACTTGTTTTAAATCAACTTTTTTTTGTTTTCTTCATTAGTGTTCACATCTGCAAGGGAGGCCAATTTATTCATTGGACGACATCTTCTGAACAACAGATTTGATTTTGAAGCATTCACAGCTGATAACCTGGAAAGGGAATGCAATGAAGAACTGTGCAATTATGAAGAAGCAAGAGAAATTTTTGAAGACCCTGATAAAACGGTAGCAGTTCAAATTGAGTTTAATTTAATGAGGGAGGTTATTGGCTAAATAACTGTATTTTTATACAGAAATTATTGCAACATAAATTATTGTACACAAATACTGTAACTTCTCTAACACATCACTGAGAGATGACTGCTTATTTTGTTCTAAAAGCAGATATCCCAGTTACATGGGGTTCTTGCTTTAGGTACACAGTGAATGCACTTGAATATGTTGAATAATGTCCTAATATATTAATAATGCCTTAATATATCAGTGTTGTCTTAATATATGAATATTGTCTTGAAGACATTAGATGTTGCCTTTAATTCTGCCAACAAATAGAAATGAAGCTTCAGAAGTCCCACTTGTGGCTATTCCTCGATTTTTCAGACTTCTGGATTTTTTAGTAACTTCTCAGCATCCAGTTTAAATGTTTCACATTATTAATTATAAATGTATTAATTGACTGATTGCCTCCTTGTGTCATGCTCAGAAGTGTTTTGTAAGAGGCAATAATATATATAATATATTATAAATATATATAAATATAAATATAATAATAAATATATAAATATATTTTTATATATGCCATAAATATATTAAAAATATATTTATATATTTTATAAATTTTATATATATTTTTATATATTTATATATATTTAGAAACCTGGTTTCTAAATACATATATACATTTGTGTATATATATATGTTTATATGTATATATACATGTATATATATGTATATATGTGTGTGTGTGTGTATATATACACATTATACATATGTTTATATGTATATATAACATATATACATATAAAAAGAAACAATGAGAAACCTTTCAGCTCAGTAAAGGAATGTGAGGATTGTCTGAAGACTGGTTGTTGCACAAGCAGCAAGAATCTTTTTGTGATTCTAGGCGTGCTCTGCACAAAGAACGAGGAATTCACCCCTGTTCTAAAGTTGGAAGTGTTAGCTTGCCATTGCTAACAATTTCCTAAGAAAAAGGTCAAATTTGCTAAACTGAAGTCTTGCTGGAGTCTTTTACTTGGTAGCAAAAGTGAAAATTATAACTCAACACTTTTAATGCCTGATGGTCATAAAATGTTAAAGTTCTTCTCTTAAATGGATCCCACTATTTTTCCTAGCTGATGTGAATTCAAATGTTGGAATTTTAAGAATTTAACTTTGCCTCAAATACTGTTTTGTAGGGATTTGAAAAAAAATAATTGTAAGCATTTTTTGGTGTCAGAATATACCCTAATTTCTATTGTCATCTGGCAGAAATATGAGGTAACACTGCAGTTAAATGCACTTTTTTCTTTTACCAGCTGGGATCTGAGAAATTTTAATGCAAAGTTGTAGAAGAAAAATACCATGGGATGAGTAAATACAAATCTCTCAGTAGGAATTATTTCTGCTTATGCCGCTGCTAAATTCTGCCCAAGGTACCATATTAAAAATAACCTGTAACTTATTTATCTCATATAAATCTGATTCTTTTTGGGTTTTATAGATGGATTTTTGGAAAGACTATTCAACTAAAGGCCCTAACATAAAATTAGGTAAGTCATTTTTTTACTTTTTTATTATATTGCCATATTTTCTGGTTGTTATAATAGTACATTCTTACTAGATCATGCAATCAGTTAAGGAAATCAGAAATTATCTTTTTACTGAAGATCACTGTGAACTGTACAAATATATTTAATTTCCTGATATGATAAACCTGAAGCATCTTAAAGTGGGATCCAATATAGGTCTGTAGGTAATTTCCTTGACCATTCCTTTATTAGACAATTGGTAAACTTGGCAGTGATTCTGTGGCTGCTCCTGTGGTTTGGTTTGGTTTGGTTTTTTCTCCTCCCTATTTCTTCAACAGTAATATAAAACAGCCTGATTTAGGCTCGGAGTAGTCTGATGCCTGATAATTTTATTAGATGTAATAATTACTTAATTAATTAATTAATTTTATTTCATAAAAAATGGTCAGTTGGATCTGATCAAGGACACAAGTACATGAAGGAATATTTGGAAGGCTTTGGAAGACAGGCATCTCAACAGTTTCCTGTAGAGAAAAGGGGGCACCAACTCCCTTTTGTTTTAAGTTGACTGTGAATGATTCTCTTGAGTTGTGTTGCTCAGATTTAAAGCTTCTTACAGCAGGTTAGACATTTGTGGAAGGAGCAGCCTAATGGCAGTGCTAAAGTAGTATTTTACAGTGAACACTGCAGGCTGGGTAGATGGAAGGAACAGAATGAAAATCACCCATGTTTTCTCTCCAGGTGATGAGGCACTGCAGAAGATTAATGTCACAGGGCTGCTCATCAGCCTGGTTGCTGCTGGAGTGCTGTTGGTTATAATTGCACTGATTGTCTTCTACTGCTGCAAGAGCAGATGCAAATCAAGGCAGCCACCAGGGTAAGGAATTGCACTGCTTAAAAAACCCAAACACGCACAAAACAAACTCTTGCTTAAGAGTGACATTTAAAAATCACTGTGGGTTGGCCTAACTATTGTGTTCTCAGAAAATCCAGTGGAAGTTCGAGTTCTTACTTGCCTAGAAGCAAAGTTAAGTGAGCACCAACAGTAGTTAATAACACAAAAACATAAAACAATATTGCATTCCCAAACCTTTGGGTTTGCCTTTTTTTTAACTTGTGTGTGTGTTCTTCACTTCAAAATATTCTTACTAAGATGATGGAATAATTGGCCTGCAGTGGGAAGTCTAACATGTTCTGTTGGTGCTTGCAAATAAGCTGTATGCTCTCATGGCATGTGCTCTGCCTCAGATGTGAAGTAGTTGTGGTAGTAGACGATGAAGCAGTGTGGAGGAAATGCTTTTTTACCAAGTCTCTACTCCTGAATGCTCCCTTGTCCTAATCTTGAAAGGAATATAAAAGGATTCTGTGCTTCCTCTTTCCTATAAATGTCACATCATTGAGCTGTTCTTACCCTGTGGTTTGGAGAGAGTATTCTGGTCTTTGTGATCACTGAAAGCATGGTTTTTCTCTTGTGGGGTTTTTTTGGGTTGTTTGGGGTTTTGTTTATTTTGTGCTTAAGACTTAATTGTGGCATTCACATTCTCTGAAAAATCCCTTCATCCACGATTTCTCTCCTGGGAAGCTGAGAAGCCTCAGAGAAAAAGGAAAACAATAATTATCTCATTTGCTTCTCCTGTGTTGTGGTCACATGTGGAATGTGTTTGGAGATTGTTTACCACAGGTGATTGTTTCATTGGGTTCTGCTGTGAGTTGTTTTCACTCTTTGGCCAATCAGGGCCGAGCTGTGTCGGGGCTCTGGAGAGAGTCGTGAGTTTTCATTATTATCTTTTTAGCATTCTGTAAGTATCCTTTGTGTGTTCTCTAGCATAGTTTAGTATAGCATTCTCTATTATAACACAGTGTCATAAAATAATAAATTAACGTTCTGAGAACACGGAGCCACGTTCATCATTCCTTCCTTCATCCCACAAACACAATACTTCATCTTCTTGCTTCCCTTTAAAGCAGAACTTTCCACTCACCTGCTGTTGCCTTTGTTTAGGTACATGGGTTATGTGAGGAGCAGAAGGAGGAATTCAGCCAACATCTTCAGGAGGCACGAGGAGTTCTCCTTGAGCCCCCTTCCCGAGGACCCGGAGCTGCCCACCTACGAGCAGGCAGTGGCCTCTGATGGCCGGCACGCCGTGCCCCCACCCCCTTACCCAGGGCCCCCCAGGCACCCCCGGCTCTTCAGAAAGTCCATGTCCCTCCCTGGCCCCTAGGCACGCACCTGCTGCTGGGCTCGGGGCAGGTTGCTGGAACATAACATGCTTTTGAAAAAAGTGCGCGCTTTCCTTGCATATTGCAAGATGATTTACAGAAATGTCAAAGATCTTCTGGACGACGAGGGAGGAGCGAAGTTCCCGTTTGGGAAAAGAGGGCACCTGGCACAAAGGCTGCAGGACTGTTCTTTGCACAAAGGCACTGTGCCATGAGGAGAGAATGCAGAAAGAGCAAGTCTTGCACTGCTGCCCTCTTCCTTATGGGCCATCCCATCAAACTATTGATTCTTCATTAATAGTTTCATCTTCTTTTTCTTCAGAAAGAACAGTATTTTAATTGTTCATATTGACACTAGCTATTTTTTGTGACTTAATATTTTAAACCACCATAAGAACTCTTCTTTGTTGTTTGACATATTCACTTCTTTGCTGGGTGAATTTTCTATTCATTCTTGTAATGGACTTGAGTGCAAAAATTACTTCATGGCTTGATCTGTCAAAAACATATATATAAATAAATATATATATAAATATATATGTAAAAAATATATAAATATATATATTTATAGTACTGCTAGTGGATTACACTGGTTTGGTTTAGACATTGCTGGTCGCACAACTTAATTGGTTGTATTTTTATGATGATAATTTTGCATCAAAATGAAGCATTCATTATGTGGCACACTGCCAATTCAGGCAAAGCACAATTGCATCAAATTGTTTTGATGTTGAACAGGTCAAAGAGAAGAAATAGAATACTGTGGGCCAGTGAATGTTGAGCAAAAAGCCAGAGATTTGTCCCTTTTTAAAAAGCTACCCAGGTTTCACATCTAATGTTTCTTTCATGGTTTAAAAGCTGAAATGTAGAGAGAAACACTTAACTTTCAAACCAAAGCCCAACCTACCTCCTAGAAGCACTTTAATAAATGTGTCTTCCACTAAAGGGATGACAAAATGATTCCTTTAAGTAGAATGAAACATCATATTAGCTCAAAAATCAAGAGTCAAGAACTCCTGGGAGTTATTGGTTCTCTGTGTCAAGACATTTTCTGTATCTACAGCTGTAGCCACCGTGAATTTTACATCTTCTTTTTTCCCCCCTCATTGAGTCAATGCTGACAACAGCAAATTCTATTTCAATTTGGTGCCTACAATCCACTTTATAAGTTAAAGGATTAGGGGTTGAAATGAATATGAAATATTTCACTGAATCTTATTGTTTTTAACATACTGGAAGCAACAATGTTGTTGAGGGAGACGCAGAAATTTGAGATTTTCAATCTGTAAATGTCTTTGTAATGATGGAAACACTTCAAGTCTTGGAATGTAAAGGGGGCACACTGACAGTGCTGCACAATGAAGTCTTGCCCTTTGAAAAACAAATACAATGCAGTTGGTAGCAGTGCCATCAGTGTTCCTGTTCACAAAGCTTCACCATCCAATTCGGCTTTTGGTGAGTCACAAATCTCTCTCCACTTCCTTTTTTTTGTTGAGAGATGGGGGAATCCCCATGTTGGGATGTTTCAATTCACTTTTGCCCTGCTTGTGAAAGCATTTGGAAGTTCTTGAAGTTCTGTAAGACTGAAATAAATAAATTGTGTGAGGTCACTGTTGATTATCAAAATACAAGGTTACGACAAGCTATGCAATCATAAGCTTGCAAAAACATTCTCCCATATTTCCCTTTCATTTAGCTAACCATTTTTCAATTTTTTTAATGTGCATTTTGAGCTCTAGGGCACACTTTTACCTAAATTTTTCCTGGGACTCAAAAATTACAAACTTATGGAACTGACAGGAGCACTGCAAAGGAAAGGGATTTCACAGGGCTTGTGACCATTCAGACATTCTGTAATGTTGCTACAGACATCTGGCAAAGGCAAATTTTAAACACACTACAGAAATCATACAGAATCCCATTCAATCACTGGACAATTGATTTTTCTACTGTTCCTACAAATTATTTGCAGCTGATTCCATCAAATGCAAGAAAAATCTCATCCTTCATAATTAATGAAAAAAAGGGTGCAACTGTTAAACATCAATGGTGTAGTGCTCTGGGCAGTAAAGTGCCCTTGCAGTAGAGTAAAACACTCAAATTTACTCAAGGAGTCTGCACCTTAGACCCTGAGAATGTGCAGGGCTGACATTCAAACACTGGTTGCACACAGCATGATAATTTGGGAGACACATCCTGCCTTTTGCAAAGAAGGAACAAAGTTTAAAATTTAGTTGAATACAGTGTAAACTTACCTGTCCTTGTAGAGGGACAGAATTCCTTTGAATGGCACTTGTCTGGGTTGAGTTTGTTTTCCTTTTTTCATGCACTGACTCCTGGCCCACTCTTACCTTGTATCTGGTCTTTCTTTAGAAATCATAATTCAACAGGGTTAACAGAGGCAAAATCAACAAGAGACAGACTATAGGGAGTTATGAATTTAGATTAAAATTCAAATTCATTTATTTTGCCACGCTTGCAAATTTTACATGTAGCTTCTTTTGAAAATTGAGTTGCTATTAGAATACATAAAGCAGCAAATGACCCTGACAGAGAGCAGGCTTAGATTGAATATTGGGAAAAAATCCTTTGCTGTGAGGGTGGTGCTGCACAGGCTGCCCCTGGATCCCTGGAAAAGCTCCAGGCCAGGTTGGATGGGGCTTGGAGCAACCTGGTCCTGTGGAAGGTGTCCCTGCCCATGGCAGGCTGTCTGGAACTGGGTGATCTTTAAGGCCTTTTCCAATCCAAAGCATTTTGTGATTAAGTAGGAAGAGGAGGAGGAAGATTTTTGAGGAGCAAAGCAGCATCAAGTCAACTTGTGTAGAGATTTAAGCTGTCAGTGTTTTGATTTTGGTGTTTCTTTCCAGGACCTTTAGGAAAGACAGTGGATTTTAAGTGATTTAACAGAGATCTACTATGACAGTTGAAAACAGAACTGTCTAAACAAAACACTGGTAAACACAAATATTCTGTTTTAAACGTGTCACTCTAAGTGCTGTTAGCCATTGCCTTGAACAATTTTCCAGAACAACCTTTTCAGCATCACAGAAGATTACAGCATGCAACCTTTTACAAAACAAGACAGTTCATTAATTAGGGCAAATTATAAGGGTCAGGAAAGTGATCTCTGGCTGTGTCAGTTGAAAAATAAATCACTGAACCTGTTTACTGCTGCAATAAGAAAGCCTGCTCTATGTTCTATCAATTATGCATTTATAGGGCAGGGGGTTGTTGGGGTTTTTGTGAATTCATTGGAACAGCAAAACCAAAGTACCACGTGGAAGTGCATTTCCTCACCACAGCTGATGAAAATCTGAGCTCTGAAGCATTTGATTCTGGTCCTCTCAAGGTTTTTATTGGCTGCAGCTGAACTGGGATTGGAGCAAGAAAATGAGATAACTGATCACTTCAGGTAATAAAAAGTATAATGCTCTGCCAAATTCTTTACCACAATGCTGTTGCCAAACCCAGTTCAGAGTATTCTATTGTTATAATGATGCCCACTTCTATTAACTGGAATGTTTCAGTCTGATCTGCCCTTAAAAGTTATATTTGAAATCTGAAAAGCATAGCAAAATTCCTTATCATTCCTCATATTATCAGCTGTGAATAAGATTAATTTATTACCTGCAGCTTAGCAACACTATTTCTAGCTTTAAATAAACCATCAAAGTAATAAAAAAAACCCAGAAACAAGCAACAAACCAAACTTTCCTATCCACAGTCTTCCTGCCAACAGAAGTTTTACTGCTGCTATCCTTGCTTGTTCCATGTGGTATAGAGAACAGGAAGGAAATTCTGGGTTTAAAAGCCATTTTCAAACACTTCCATACTGTAAACACCTTTCAATTAATTCCTGTCACTACAAATTTATCACTATCGTTTCCACAACAAAGAACTTGTACGTGTTTTCCTCTCAAAAATCTTAAGCAGATCTTCTCAAATAACCTGCTCTTTATTTAGGTATTTTTGACTATTTCCAGCCATTTCTGAACTGTATAAACAATTCCTTAATCTTATGAACATGTTTCCTTCTACTTGTCTGTCAGAACATTTTGAATGCACTTGTCACTGGCTATATTTAATTCTGACTTTGATTTCAAGTGCTGTCATATTTTGGGTGATGGGTAGCAATATTTTAAGCTCTGCTAGTCTCTATATTATTTTGTAAAACAATTTCCAGATAAATGTTTATATAAACTAAGCACGGCAAAAGAGAAAATGCTAATTTAGCCTATGATTAAAAAATGAAAAAAACCTCTGACAACCCTCTTGATTTCTTTTAAATTGAGTTGGTAACAACTCTTCTGAAAGCACCTAAAGGGGGCTTTAGAGGAAAATGGAGACAAACTTATTAGCAGGGCCTGTTGTGACAGGCTAAGTGGTAATGGTTTTAAACTGAAAGGGATTTAGACTACATAAAAGGAAAGGTTTTTTTACCAGGAGGATGGTGAAACATTGGCACAGGTTGCCCAGAGAAGTTTAGGATCCATCCCAGGTTAGATGGGGCTCCATCCATGAAGATGTTCCTGCCCATGGCAGGGGGTTGGAATTGGATTACCTTTGAAGTTCCCTTCCAACCCAAACCATTTTAGATGGTTCTTAGATGATTCCTCGTGCCACAGAGAACTTATTGGTAGAGAAAAAGGGTTATGGTTTGTTTTCTTTAACACTGGCAGTTTCTGCTCTGGACAAAATCTTCCTGCTCCACTGCTCCAGTTTAGCTGAGCATCTGAGGTTCATGAACTCTGAAGATGAACTCTTCAAGACTTAACAAAGTGTTAACCCTTCCATCTTCCATGACTTTTGTCAGGCCTCTGGTGAGCAGATTTAACACGATGGTATGACCAAAAAATACCCCTTTCCTAGGGGTAGTGAAGTAAGTGAGATCCCCCCAGTGAGGAGCAGAACAAAAGCAAGGCTGGAAGCAGGAGTTCCTCATGTAGTAATGGCAATTTCAATCTGAAGTGGAGGCACACATGATGCAGTGTGTGTGGAATTCCTCAGAGAGGCAGGAGGGCAGCTAGACAGAGCAAATATGGAGCACAGTGAATTTCATTACATTAAACCACTTTTGATTTACCCTCTGGAAAAAAATTCAGAGCTGTGTTTTTTCTTCCAACCATACAAGAGGAGCTGAGCTCCCCACAGACTACCCAAATCTCCTATATTTGAACATCCAATGAAGCTTTTGAACCAGATAACTGAACTGATATTTGAAATACAGCTGATGGGATAGATGCTTCATTCTCATTAAGTGTCTTGGGACAACAATTCCATCTTTCACTCCATTTATATAAATCAATCATGGCAAAAGAGAAAATACTAATTTAGCCTATGATTAAAAAATGAAAAAACCTCTGACAACCCTTTTGATTTCTTTTAAATGGAGTAGGTAACACTTTCTGGCATGCTATAGTTGGTAACACTAGGTGCTTTTCCATAGCACCCAGACTACTGAAGCACTGAAGCAGTAAAGGCCATCAGATGCAGGCATGCATCCCATTCTGGGAGCCCCACACTCTAAAGGGAGCAGACAGGCTTCAAAGCACCTGAAAAAATATTTCAATCTAGAAACTGGTGCAGTTAAACATAAGTTTTGAAATTTTAATTTCTGAAGCAGTGCCTACTTCATTTAAGAAACAAGAAACGCCTCTGATTGCTCAGCAGGGCTCAAGCTTCAGTTTAATTTCTCTAAAGATCAGCAAGTATTGAATACATAAACATCCAACATTTCACATTAAACACCCAGCATTGATATCATACAAAGGAAAATATCTTCTAGTAAGAGTTAAAATAAAACACTCTATTAAAAATATGAGTTTGTTCAAGATCAAAGGTTTTATTTAGGTTTTTTTGGTTTTCCTGTGTGCAATGTCATTGCACATTTCTCCCACTTACCTTATACCTGTTCTGGTCCTTACTGGATCCTTTCATAAATCATCCAGTGAAAACATAGACAGCTTTCTCAGGTCTGGGTGATTTGAGGCAACACACGTGCAGTGGTGGCACCTTGGAAGGAGTGGAAGCACATGGCCAGGAGGAGGATTGGGAAAAAGAAGGGAACAAGATCTTCTCCTCATTGCTGCAATGAGCTTTGCACCAGCTCCATCATCTTTTGTCATGTTAGAAGTCAAGCTTTCATAGACCAGCTTTAGCCCAATAAAATGAATTCCGAAGATTTTGCTTCATTTGTTTGTACACATACTCGAGTTTTCAAAGAAATGCACAGAGCAATGTAAGTGAAGAAATTCAAAGGAGAGCATTTGCTGTGAGGTTCCAAGACAGAGTGTGCTCTTTGAAAGGCAGCACTCTCTTCCCTATTCACACATATCTTAATGCCTAGCTTCATGTTTAAAGAGACCACATGCCAAATTAAATGCAGAATCTAATCTGTTAAAGCAACTGCAATTTTCTGCTTTGGTCAGAATCCCAATTACAGCAACAAACAACGCAGCCAGTGATTAATAACAAGCCTAACCAAAACTCATGTTATTACTGCCTATCTGATCTACTCACTCATTCCTGCTCATGCAGGATACCACAGGCTGGCAGCAGCCACAGCCTGCACAAAGGTGCTGCATCCAGCATGTGTAGCTGTCCAACAGTGCTCAACAGAAACATGTGCTGCAGAAATCTCATTTTGTGCACTTTTCACCATGTGTTGATACATCAGACCCAATTCAGCTTTGGCCCGAACTTCTTCAAACTTCATCTGATTAGATACATTCAAGTTGCTTGATTGTTTTATGTTTGAAACATTAGTTTTTGAAAAAGAATGTCCTCAAGTCTCCAAAACACTGTTTCCAAACAATTGTGAAGATTCATTCTCTCAGCACAAGGCTATTCATTAAATTTATTTCTAAAGCTTTTGTTGACACATGGTTAGCCACTGAAAGCTAAGCACTAAGGTGTTTGTGTATGTTAGCAAACTATTTATGATACTGTGATAGTTCTAAAATAAAATACTATTATGTGCTGAAATACAATTCTTTTTGTCCACTTGCAACAACCAAGCTGTAATCTCAGACTTGCACCATTAACTGCACGTTCTGCCCTTAACTCATTTCTTCCATCAACAACAGGTGAAGCTGCTGAGCCAGCATGTGCATCTGACTATTCTTCCATGATTCTCTTCAGTCCACCAAAAATTGCCCTAAAGCACAATAAGAATTTTGCTGCAAAGCCCAATTTACAGGTTTAGCTGAAAGCCTCTTAAAGGAAGAAAAAATATTTTGGCACAGAAACGCAACGGAAAAGCCAGAACAAGCCCAAAACCAGGCATCATCTGTTATGGAAAAGCAAAGTACAGGAGCAATGCTCTCTGTGAAAGGAGGCACTGGGGATAGAGAGACATCGGAAAAACAGCATAGAGCCAGGTTTGTTGTACCTGCAGTGAAAAGGAAGTCAAAAGCACAGGCACCTTGTGCTGCCAGCTCTGACACTCATGACACCATTAAAGCTGTACCATACCACGTTGTTCTTCTGCAGAGCCAGGTATGGAGGGGCTTGACAGCTGGCCTGCAAGCAAAGCTGAGTTAATGGAAGAAATAACAATTGATGATTTTCCAGTGCATCCACAGCAAGGAAGAAGACAAGGCTGTCAGCATGGAAAGAGATTGGAAAAGATACATGGAAATTTTTGTAAGCTAGACTACATGCATAAGTAGATGTTTATACATGTCTTATTAAATTTCTTTAGAACTTTTGCCAATTATATTGACGCTAATTGCTTTGCACCAATGAATATAATCAGTTATTGTGATGTAGTTAATGACTTAAGATCACGTTTTGTTAAGAGTATATAAGCTGGAGAACACAAATAAAAACTTTTAATCTTGGACCCTGATCACATGTGTGTGTCACGTCTGACCTAACAGTGACACCCAGTCTTGTACATCCCATCCTTCAGTGGTGCAGGTGACCCTCCTGAAGGACAGGCTGCCATCCAGAGGGACCTGGACAAGCTCAAGAGGTGGCCCATGGAATTCTCCTGTGCTTTAACAAGGCCAAGGCTGGTGCTGCACCTGGGCCAGGGCAGCCCCTGGTACCAGTCCAGGCTGGGGATGAGCAGATCCAGAGCAGCCCTGGCGAGAAGGACTTGGGGTGCAGGTGGGTGAGAGGCTGGACAGGGGCCAGCAGTGCAGCTGGAGCCCAGAAAGCCAATGCCAGCCTGGGCTGCACCCAGAGCAGCCTGAGAGCAGCTGGGGAGGGGATCCTGCCCCTCTGCTCTGCTCAGGGTATCCCACCTGGAGCTCTGCACCCAGCACAGCAAGGACAGGGAGCTGCTGCAGTGAGCCCACCAGGATCAGAGGGGATCCTGCCCCTCTGCTCAGATCCCACCTGGAGCTCTGCACCCAGCACAGCAAGGACAGGGAGCTGCTGCAGTGAGCCCACCAGGATCAGAGGGGATCCTGCCCCTCTGCTCTGCTCAGGGTATCCCACCTGGAGCTCTGCACCCAGCACAGCAAGGACAGGGAGCTGCTGCAGTGAGCCCACCAGGATCAGAGGGGATCCTGCCCCTCTGCTCTGCTCTGAGTGATCCCACCTGGAGCTCTGCACCCAGCACAGCAAGGACAGGGAGCTGCTGCAGTGAGCCCACCAGGATCAGAGGGGATCCTGCCCCTCTGCTCTGCTCTGAGTGATCCCACCTGGAGCTCTGCACCCAGCACAGCAAGGACAGGGAGCTGCTGCAGTGAGCCCACCAGGCTTAGAGGGGATCCTGCCCCTCTGCTCAGATCCCACCTGGAGCTCTGCACCCAGCACAGCAAGGACAGGGAGCTGCTGCAATGAGCCCAGAGCACAGCACCAGGATTACAGGGATGGAGCACCTCTCACAGCAGGACAGGCTGAGGGAATTGGGGTTGCTCAGCCTGGAGAGGAGAAGGCTTTGGGGTGACCCAGCTGCGGCCCTCCAGTGCCTGAAAGGAGCCTGCCACAGCAGTGGAGAGGGACTTTTACAAGGGCATGCAGTGACAGAACAAGGGGGAGCTTTACAATGAAAAAGAGCAGCTTTGTACCAATTTAGGGGGAGATTCCTTGCTGTGTGAGTGGGGAGGCCCTGGCACAGGCTGCCCAGAGAAGCTGTGGCTGCCCCATCCCTGGAAGTGTTTAAAGCCAGGTTGGATGGAGCTCTGAGCAGCCTGGGATAGCAGAATGAGCCCCTGCCCATGATCTTCAAGGTCCCTTCTATCCCAGGCCATTCTATGATTCTATGTTATACAATATAAAAAACAATCACACTCAAACACTGGCTTACATTTCTTCTGATAACATATGTAATAACTCTAGCACACTGTGCAACAAAGAAGCTAATAAATAAATATAACAGTTACAAATAAATACATTGATGCCAATCGTGAACTGGAGCATGATTTTTGGCCCTTGGTCTGTGATTGCTATATTGCTTTAATTATGATAAAATCACAGAAAACTGCCAACTATTCCTTAGCTTGATCCTGCATTTCATTTGGTATATGTTCACTCTAAACATGTAAGCAGACCTCAAAAAGCAATATTGCCATTCAGCCTTGTGCAACAGGGAATGATTTAAAGAGAAGCAGGAAATTTTCCTTAAGGGGCAGTGTGTGTGAGCTCACACAGCTCTCCAACAGAGCTGGCTTGATTCTGGCTGAAGTGTCACACTGGCAGAGGAGCCCAGCACTGTCTGCAGAGTGCCCTCCTGGACTCCAGAGATTCCCATGTGGAATACACCACCAGCCAAGACAACATCTCAGCACGAGATTTAAAACTCCCCTGTCATCTCCTCCTGGCTGCTCACTACAGCTGAGCCAGCTGACTCAGCTCAGCAACATTACAGAAAAATCACCTCTGGCAGAAAAAGGTAAAGGTGAAAAAGGGAAGCCAGTGGAGTGAATTCATGACTCACCCTGTGGCCAGAGCCCATCACTAGAAGTGAGAGGGTGAAGAAGGGAAGCAGGGACAGTCAGGGCTTTCTTCTTTGAGTTGTCAGCAAGCAGCTGAGGCAGCCCAGCCCTGCTGCCACGCCACATCTGGAGGCAGCAGCACATGGAGATCATTCCTCAGACCTTAAGCAGATGATTCCCATTAAAGTGTAACCTTAAGTACTTATATCTGTCTCCTAGCTATCAAATGATATTTTTGATTCTATAAAGGATTTATTTTTTCCAAGTGGAGAGTCATTGTTTAGGGAAAGAAATGAGAAACAAAAAAAAAACAGTAGTGCTCCAGGCTGGTACACTGCACAGATTGTGTTACAGTGCTTCAACTTAAGATTTTGGTCTTAGGTAGAGAGAAAAATTGTATTATGTTTCAGCAAGATATTTTTATTATATTAAATTCTTGACTTCAGAGAGAAGCACATACAATATCACTACTGGCCACAGGCACTAAGTTATGCACTACAGTTCAGAAGGCATTTTAGCCCACTAAAGCTCAGTTCCTAAACAGTAAGTAACAGCTGCATTTGAAACAAAACCATTCCTTATTAAGACAAGATTCCAAGTTTCAGAATCATCAACACACCTAACATGACTATTAAATACAAATTTTAATATGTACACTTTAATCCTAACATTAAAAAAAAGTTTAATTAACATGATTTATCAATGGACTTTCTCTATCCCTGAACAGATCCTTCAGAAAAGCTGCTTGTAAGTTTCCTGGGTACCAGGATCCTGTAAAAGCACTTACTCTCAACATACTCTTTTGTCGTCTTAGAGAAAAGTGTTACAAAATACCATTTGTTACAAAAAGATAAAATGCACAAGCTTGGAGGAAGATTTCCTAGACAGAGGACAGCAACGAGCAGCAGGGGTCAGTTTAATGAGAAAGCTGCGGAAGTCTCCCTGCCTGATCTCAGGACAAGATTGACCTCATACACAGGAAAAGCAAATCACTGGATAAACTGACTTTATCTGATGGTTGTGGACATCAGTGATTAAGCTTTTAGTCTACTCCACCTTTATTAAAACCATGTGAAAGAAATTAAACTTAACAACAGCTGTCACAAATTCTGTTTCACTCAACTTCACTATTTGAATGCCAGCAAAAAGGATCTACTCCAGCAATGCTCAGGGAAGCACAGTGTCTGTGGTTCATTTAGTGGTATGAAGGCACTGTCTGTGTTTCCCTGCCTGCAAATCTGGACGGGTTCTTGTTTGTGATTTCTCGTGTAACATGATTTTACAGCCATGTACCCACCCCCACATTCACTTTAGAGCAGTTCTGTAATGGAAATAAACAACATAATGGCATTCTTTACAGTTCATGCTGCCATTACTTGAAGAAAACACCTAACAAGACACTAGCAGTTTTACAATTTATTAACACATCCTTCCAAGTGTAGGACAAGAAACTCCACAGCAACATGTTCACTCTAGAAAACCAGACACTACAAGTAGATGGAAAAGGCACTTCCTATCAGTTCCATGTATCACCCTGCTCTCAGCCCCACTTGAGGGAAGCAATGTGCTCCAAGCGTAATAATATAATGGCAATTAGTGGAGATCCTGCAGGGAAATAAAAAACTGTGGGTCCTTCCCCACTGGAAATGGCACTTTCAGCAGCATCAGCAGCGCAAACGCTGCACTATTAGCATACAACTGGAGTCATTTTCTGCCATCAGGCCTCGTTCATATGTAAAACAGCAACCCTCCCGTTTCCCGGGGAGAGAAAGTCTCCCACCCCCCTCACGGCTCCTCCAGCTGCAAGCAACACAGGTGCTAACTTATGCAAACACGAGGAAAACTCACTCTGCTGGTTTCTGGCTTTGGGGAGCTGCTGCTTCTCCCTCCAGCCTCTGCCCTGGCCTCTGGGTGACTTCGCTCCTCTCCTCAGTGCTGATGACTTTCACACTTACCTTTCTTTCCCTCCCCATCCATGGCTGCATTTCTTCCTGCTGCTTCTTGAAATTAGGCATGAGAAAAGCAGAACCTCAGCTTTTCCTCCTAAAGTCTCATGCTTTTCTTCTTTCTCATTTAATACTGATCACTCCATCTTTCCATTCCAATGTTGAGGTTTTTTGCAGCTTTTGTTTTTTAACATCTAATCTGATTGGCTGTAGCCAAGTTTCTAAATGCATTTCACTACAGAATTCGTTTCAGTCTGTGGTTCAGAATTGCCTGGAGTGCTACAAACTGAATCTTCAAAAGACTTACTCGCTCATTAGCATACACCTTCCTCTTCTGAGCAGTGCCTTCAGGTGCAGTCACCCTCTTTCCAAGAGCATGTTCCTCATCTTTACCTCTGAGGCACATTCCTCCTGCTCATCTCGGCCTGCCTATCTTCAATCTGCAGGGAAAGCAAGACACCGCAGTTCACTCATCATCCTGATGTCTCCTTCGCTGCTACCCTGCTCTGTGCAGATGGTGCCCATCTCCCTTATTCTTTGTTTTAACAAGCATTCAGCAAAAGACACAGGAATTTACCATCTACAAACCAGGTGGCTTAGGCTGCTCTAAATAAAAACAAACTGCTTTAGCCAGTCCTAGCTAAAGTAGGAAGTTTTACCATTTAAATTTAGACGAAATAAAAATAAAGAATAGATATTCTCTCTCTTCTCTTGCTAGCTGGTTTTTGGCATACATGAGAAAGCTGGAAAGAGATTTGTCACAAGGGCATATGGTAATGGACAAGGGGCAGTATGCAAGGGGCAATATACAAGGGGTAACTGACAAGGGGCAATTGACAAGGGGTAACTGACAAGGGGCAATTGACAAGGGGAAATATACAAGGGGCAACTGACAACGGGTAATTGACATCGGGCAACGGCTTTAAACTGGAAGGAGGTTTAGATGAGATATTAAGATGAGATTATTTACTGTGAGGAGGGTGAGACACTGGAACACCCAGAGAAATTGTGGCTGCTCCATCCCTGGAAGTGTTCAAGGCCAGGCTGGATGGGGCCTTGAGCAACCTGATCTAGTGGAAGGTGCCCATGCCCATGGCAGGGGGGATCGGACTGGATGATCTTCGAGGTTCCTTCCAGTCCAAAGCACTCCGCGATGCCATCATACGATTCCACTCAGGCCTGCGGTGACTTCTCGATGGGGAATGCCCGGGTCTTTGGGACGCTCTGACATACAGACACATAAAGAGGCGGTGGCTCGGCGCTCCCCGCCGCGGGGGGAGGCGGCCGGGCGCGGGGAGCGGCGTCAGCGCCCGGAGCCGGTGCCAGGGCGGGCGGGCGGCCCCACAAAGCGCCCTACAATGGGGCGGCTGCCGGGCTCCATCTTGGCGGCGGCGGCGGCCCCGGAGCCCGCGGCTGGCGGCGCTTCCCCTCCGCGGGAACAACATGGCCCCGCCCCGGTTCCTCCAACAAAGCGCCAGCGCTTCGCTCCACCGAGGAACCGGCCTCCCCCGTACCCGACACCGCCACCCCGCCCGTCCCCGCCTTCAGTCCCCCCACCCCGCCCCGGTGGCGGCTACCGCCCCCCGCCACGCTCCGCTCCCGCCGCCGCGCTTCCCCCTCGGGCCGCGGCCGCCCGTCCGCGAGTCACAGACCTCCTTCCTCCTCCTCTTCCTCCTCCCGCTGCTCCCGCTCCCCCCGCCGGCGCTGCTGGCGGCGGCCCCGGCGGCCCCTCCGCCGCGGCCTCCCTGCCCCCGGCCACGGAGCCCGTGAGCCCCAGTGCGCTGGCGGGGGAGGAGCATCCTGGGAACGCGCAGCCCGACATGGGTCCGGCGGCCGCGCAGCCCCCGCCGCCGCCCGCAGCTCCGCCCGCCGCCCGCCGCTGAGCGGGAGCGGAGCGCAGGGGGCCGCACGGGGCCGCGGCGCTGCCCGCCCCGGATGAGGCGCCGCTCCCCCCCCGCCCCGCTCGGTCCCCGCCGCCCTCAAAAGCGCAGGGCCCCCGCGGAGCCCCTGCGGCCCCGATGATGGACAGGAACTACCCCGCGACCCCCGGCTTCGCCGAGCCCCTGGCCCCGGGCACCGCGCCGCCCGCCGCCTCCTGGGCCTACGAGCGCGGCGCCGGCAGCCTCAAGCCCAGGTGAGGAGGGTCCGCAGGCACGAAAGGCCGGGGGCCGCGCCGGGGCCTGGCCGAGGGCGGCCGAGGGGGCCCCGGCGGCGGGGCAGGGCAGGGCGGGGGGCGAGCGGGGCCCGGCGGCCCCGGGGAGGCCGGGCCGGGCGGGGCGGCAGAGGCCGCGTCCCGGCGGGCGGGCGGGGGGCGGCGGCGGCGGCGCGGGCTCCCTGCTGTCCCCGGCGGCCCGCGGCGCTGGCGGCGGGGCGGGCGGTCTCTCCGCCCCGGAGGCTCGCGTCGGGCTGCGGCGCGGGTTCAAGAGTTCACGCGTCCCTGGCCGGCTCCCGGAGCGAAGCGGGGCCGCGGGCACCGGCGCTGCCCGGCCGAACAATGCTGCCCGCCGGGGCACCGGGCCGGCCGCGCCGCGCCGGCATCCCCCGCGCCCGTCCTTCCTCCGCCGGTGTGCGCTCCGCGGAGCCCGGCGAAGCTCTTCGCTCTAAAGCGCTGCTCCGGGGCGTGCGGAGCCTCCTCCTCTCAGCCAAAACTTGTCTGGAGCGATTCAGTCCCGCGGAGAGTTCTGCAAAGTTCCGGGAAGTGCGGGGAAAACACGGGATATCTTATTGGCTTCGGGTTGCTTTTTGATTGTGTAACTCTGCCAACTAAAAGGAGTATTCTCTAGGCGATGAGATTTTCGTTATCGCCTGCCTTTTATGTCTCTCGCTTGATTTATCTGCAGTTCCCATCTCGACGGCGTTTAAAGGTAAAAGAGAATCTCGGGCTAAAAATATCCCGTCAGAATAGGTGCGCTGATAGATGACTTTGCACTTGGTTCTGAAAGTGGTCAGACGTGTCTGATAAGATTAATAGATTATCAGGTCAGAAGGACTGTTGCAATCATCTAGTCTGACCTCTTCATAATGCAGGCCATAGAACTTTTCTTTTCCCCCCTCAACCTGTGTTTGAAAATAGAGTTTACATTTTAGAAGGTGTAGTTAAAAATTTCCCATGAGCCAAAATTCAGCGCAGTTCTTGGTAAAGTATACAAGTGACTGATTTATATTGTATTTTTGATATGAAGAGGGCTGTCTTTAGTTTCTGGCCACTGAGTCTTGTTTATAGCCTCATCAACGCTGAAAATATGTTGAGTATGAATTCTTATGAATTCTAATTGATTTCTTGCTTTACTTATTTTTCTTAATAAAAATAACATAATCTTTTGAAGTTTATTGCCAGAGATTTTTTTTTCTTTTTTTCTCTTTACTTTAGTTACTCTCCCAGATTTCTTTCAGATTTCCTCCAAGTTGTCAATTTCCCTTCCTGAGTTGTGCACATTGCATTTGAGATGCAGTGAGAAGATCTCAGGAGCTCCCTGGGAAGTGAGTGAGGCTGTACATTCCCTGTTTCACAGAGAATTGCAGCTTTTTGGCCAAACCCTTGCCCCATCAAGCTCTTTAGCTGGTTTCTCTGAGGAGCTGCCTGCATGGCAAAGTAAGGTCTCCATATAATTCTTCCCAATTTTTCTTCCTGACCGCTGAAGTGCTTTTGGTGGTGTTGCTATGTTGATTTCAGTGGAAGTCAGTGACCTGTCCTTTCTGTATTGCTTTTGCCAGCTCCCATCACCTCTTGAGGGTCATGCCAGCTGTTTGGAGGCGATTTGGATTTCCCAGGTCATTTAAGAATAGGTAGTGCAGAAGCAGAACTTGGATTTTACAGGATTTTCTTTTTTAATATTTAAAATAATCCCCTGGTTTTACAACACATCTTGCAATTTTTTTTAATCGCTACTGTATTAATGCAGTCTTAAATGTACATTTTGGGAATTCTTTAGAAGCAATGGCATGGAGAAAAATCCCAAGACAAGTACCATGCAGAAGCTCATTAGATCACTGCTTGCTGCCTATACCAATCAAATTAGTATTATTGCATCCCTGTATGATATGGCAATATTTATACTATGCTTCAGGAAACAGTGTGGAAAAAACTTTGTTTTAGTTTGTTGAAATTTCATCTCCAGGTTCTATACATGGTGACAAATGATGCATTTAAAAATTGTTGGCTGAAACATTTAAACTTTTTTCTCTAACTGTACCAAGAACAGGGAAAATACTGAATAATGAATCATATTTTGTGCTTGAAATTCTCCTGAACTAGCTTCTTTGGGTTCATGTAATTTTAACAAGAATTACCATAGCCTGTCTTTGGCCAGATTTAAAGATTTGAACCATGTTGGACACAGAGATGAGTAGAGTCTGGGCTTTAGGTGCTTGTGGATTCCCCTGCTGCTGATAGCACTTGTCTTTGTATGGATGGAGTTGCTGAGGAATGGGGATGGAAGAGTCATTCCTGTCACTGCCAAGGCTTGCAGCAGCCTGGAAGGAAATTGTGGAGGTATATGGAATATGCTGTCCATGCCCTCGACTTGTGTTACAGATCACATCACGTTTTTCACAGTGGTGTTTCTGATTGTGGCTGACAGGTAGTCATCTTAACAGCTGAAGCTGCATAAGCCTGATGTTAAATTAAAAAATGTGTGTCATGTTCATCTGGTACTTGCTTGAAAAGAATTCAGCCTTTAGGTGATACAGATGACAATATTTCATTCAAATCTCATAGTTATGCTCTTGCAGGCTGTGTCGTGGCAGGTTTTGTTCCCTTTGTGTGGAGAGCCATGTTCACGGTCTCAGCTCATCAAAATGATTTCTCCTCCCTACAAGCATTGCTCCTGTCTTCCTGTGCTTCACTTCAGCCATCTGGTTTTTATCCTGCTTCTTATTTCTTGCAGGCACTGTTTTGTCTGTGCAATGCCTCTATTCTTATCGACTCAAAGGAAATGTGTGGTGAAGTGTTGCAAAGACATTTCTACCGGGCCTGCTGTGACATAACTCTTGCCATGGAATAGGAGATGGTGGATTGGGATGGAAGCTGATGGAAATCACTGGGATCCCTCTGGTACCTGAGCAGGGACACACTGGGATACTGCAGCCTGGTAGGAGGGGCTGAGGGGATGCTCCTGACCCCCAGACCCCTTACACAGCCTGTCAGCATCAGAAGGAATTGCTGGTGGCTCTAGGAGTGCACTGCCACTTTTGGCCCTTTACTATAGTGTCAGAAAACCCCACCTGTGTGCTTAAACCCTCTTCTGGCCAAAAGCTCTTGATCAGCAGATAAGGTGTGCCATGCTTACTTGCTGCTTGCTCAGGAATTGTTGAGTGTTCAGAAACCAGCTGATGTGTAATAGTGTGAGAAACTGTTGTAATTGCTTGGAAAGAGATGTGGAGACACCTGATAATGGATGAGGTTTCTGGTTGAGTTTCTCTGACTTGGGGGTACTCATTTAAAAAAAGATTTTTACTAGTGGAAAGATCTCACTGTTCTTATTCTGTTTTTACCACAGCTCCAAGACTCAAATCTGCTACATGTGATTAAAAGTCAGTCACGATTATTTTGCTGTTGATTTAAATTTTATGGTGATTGCCATGGTCTCTGATGTTCCTTTATGTCTCTATCCATCTCTGTGCTACCCAAGCATATGGGATTTTATGTCATTTAATTCAATATGGTTCTTTACAACAGATAGCACTGGCATTTTTAGTGTGGCCTGTAACAGCTAATCTAAGATAAAGAGTTAGTTCCTGTGATAGTTCATTTGCAAACCTACATAAATGGGAGGCTTACACTTTTATGATAAATGGTTATGATGGGTTTTTAA